GAGTAAAGAGCATGTATCATTAGCTAATGAATGGAAATTGAGAGCATCTGGAGAAGGTACTGCATATTGTTCATGTATTAATGAACATTTACCGATGTTATATGTACCTAGAATGATATTTAACTTGCTATCTGTAAGAGAAATGGTAAAAGCAGGATTTGTGGTAACTTTTCAGGGAGATAAATGTTTAATTGAAAAACAGGGTAAAAGTGTTACTGCAACATTGGATAGTGATTTATTTATTATACATGATAATCCATTAATTAATGCTAACTCAGTTTATGAGAATAAAAAGCCTCATGATGAATGTATTCATCTGCTCCATAGACATATGGGACATATAAATTTCAAAATGCTAAAGAAAACTGTTGAGTTATCTAATGGTATAAAATTAAAACCTTGTACAAAGTATTTAAATTGCAATGTTTGCAATCAAGCAAAAAGCAAGGTAACTCCTGCAAATAGGGTAAATGGATTCAAAACCAGTGAACCATTAGATGTTGTTTTTGCTGATATTATTGGACCTATGAAACCTAGTTTAGGTGGAGCCTGTTACATATTAAGTATAATTGATCATTTTTCCAGATATGGTTTCTGTTATTTAATGAAAATGAAGAAAGAAACGTATCAGCATTTTGTAAACCGGCTAAAATTTGCTGAAAGGAAAAAGAAACAGAAAGTTATTAGCTTAGTAACAGATAACGGTACTGAATTTACCATTGAAAATTTGAAGCCACGTTACAGAAAGCTGGCATTGAACATAAACGTTCTGCTCCTTATAGAACACAACATAACTCATGTATTGAACATAGAGGACAAACATTACAGGCTATGGCTAGGACTATGATTTCGGATTCTGGTTTATCAGAGAAACTTTGGGGTGAAGCAATAACGTGTGCTAACCATGTTTTGAATAACATAGTGAATTCAATGACTAGTGAATTACCATTTACTCGTTGGAATGGAAAAAAGTCAGATCTCAGTTATTTACATACATTTGGAACCCCAGCATGCGTTCATATTTCCATGCAAGTAAGGCGAAAGGGACAACACAGAGCGAGACAATTATATTTTGTAGGTTATAAAGCTAATCATAGATCATTTAGATTTTGGGAGCCAGGTACTACTAATGTATATTGCAGTGCAAGTGCTAAATTTATGGAGTATGTTGGCTGGAGAAAGCTTGAACAGGAATATAATAAGGTACAGGATAGTGTTGTTGAGACTCCATTGTTTACCGATAATCCTGATGATAATAATATTGATGATAAGATAGTGGAGGAATCCTCAATGGAGGAATCCTCAATAGAAGAACCCTCTATGACTGTAGAAGACGAGGATTTGATAGGGGAGGTAAAGGAAGAGGAGACGCCAACAACATGTACTGAGTTGCCTAGGAGGTCAACTAGGGAGAGACGTCCACCTGACAGATTTCAAGCAAGCATTGTATGTCAGGTTAATACAAAACCTTCTAACTTCAATGAAATAAAACTGTATCCTACAAAGGATCAGGCAGCTTGGCAGGAAGCTATGAATAGGGAGTTAAAATCATGAAAGGATTTAGAGGTGTATGAGGATGTAAAGTTATCACCAGGTGAACGTGCAATAGGTTGCAAATGGGTGTATAAGATAAAGACTGGTGTGGATGGGACTATTACCCATAAAGCAAGATTAGTTGCTCAAGGATTTGCTCAGTCAGATAAAGACTATGATGAAGTGTTTGCACTTAGTCTGAGAGCAAATACATTGAGAGCAGCATTAGTTTGGGCAGCTAAGAATAAATGTAAAATAAACCATGTAGATGTTGAAACTGCACATCTACATGCACCTTTACAACATACCATCTTTATGAAAAAGCCATTAGGTTTAAAGGATGATGGAAAAACTGATTATTGGAAATTAAAGAAAAGTCTTCATGGTCTAAAGCAATCAGGTTATGAATGGAATAAATGTATTATAAAGGAATTAGTTTCAATAGGTTTTGAAGCTGGTATAGCTGATCCTTGTTTGTTCCGAAGAGAAAAAAGATGGTTTAATTTCTCTATTACTGTTATTTATGGATGACATAGCAATTGTAATTAAAACTGAACAAGAAGCAAACGATATTGTTTATAGATTACAGAAAAAATTCAGGATTAGAAATTTAGGGGAAATTAAGCATTATTTGGATCTTGATATAGTGAAAACGAATAAAGGTTTTAAAATTTCGCAAGCCAAGAAAATTAGCCAATTATTAAAATGCTATAACGTGGAGCATTGTAAATCTGCTGTGATACTAATGAGTAAGGAATTTACACATAGTGATATCAAAAGTCCTATGTTTGATAAGGCAATATATCAATCCTTAATTGGTAGTCTATCATATCTGAGTAATTGGTCTAGACCAGATATATCTTACAGTGTAAACCAATTGGCTAGGTATAATGCTGAACCAAATGAAAGGCATCGGCGAGCAGCTAAGTGAATAATTAGGTATTTAAAACACACAATCAATTATTCATTATATTTAGAACCAAGTAATGAATTAGTGTTAACTGCATATGCTGATGCAAGTTTTACTACTGATATAATGACTCATAAGTCAACATCAGGTAAAGTGGTAATGCTGGGTAATGCTTTAAGAGGATGGAAGTCTATTAGGCAACAACATATTAGTTTATCCACTATGGAAGCGGAATTCTCATGTTTATCTTTACTGTGTACAGAACTGATATACTTTTAAACAATTGTTGAAGGATATCGGAATTACTGTACATGATCCGTTTATTGTTTATGAAGACAATCAATCTGCAATTAATATGCTACTAATTTAGCTATTAAAACAAGGTCTAAACATACTGATTTGAGATATTTGAATGTTAGACAGTGTGTTCAAAATAAATTAATTCAGTTAGAATACTGCATGACTGAACATAATACTGCAGATTTCACGAAAGCTCAAGGTGCAATTAAGCATAAAGAGTGTTGTGAGAATTATGGTTTAAAAATGTAATGTATTATATATTGACCAACCCAAAGGGGAGAATGTTCAAATCTGTTCACCAATTAGTTGGGTTGGCAATATATAAACCAACAATGTATGTTTGTATCTTTAAGGCAAAGTCACTGTGTTGATTTGTACTATATTCTGATTGGTTGATTATGTTGTGAATTGCCATAAGAGGGAGCTAGAGATCATGGCTTGTTCTCTCTCTGATATGTTTCTCTCTTTGACATTCTGTTTCTCTGACATTCTGTTGCTATCTCAGTTTGACTCGGAGACTCTGTTGTGTTTATGCTGTGCTTATACTTTGATATCTTTGTTTACTGTAAATGACAAAGGCAACCAGTAAGAAGACTTTGTAATTGGATATTATCTGGACTGTAAAACGTATATGACCTGGACCATTTATTGGACTGTGCTATTTCTTAAAGTAAACTTTAACCCAATTTAGTGTATCTGTGTGTGGCTGGATAATTATTCATAACTATTCTCATAAACATTTCCATGTGCATATCCTTGTTACTCAAGGGTTATTCTGTACATATCATAACAGGTAGTTCTGGAGTTAAGGCCAGGATTGTCGTTGCTAAGTGATGCTTTCATATTGTGCAATGTCACATGACTGCATCACTTAGCAATGGCAATCCAGTAATGGTTGTCACTGTAATTTAAGGTGTGCAGTTTAGGCAAGACTGGTGAGAATTCTAAGTAAGGAGTGCAAGAGTGCCATGTGGAGATGGGGGAGAACTGATGCAGAAGTTGGAGATGGCAGTGCTGTGGTACAAGTGCAGGAAGTCAGGGAAGGTATGGTGCAAATAGCATTGAGAAGAAGACATGGCTAGCTGTTGCCTAGCAAATATTCAAGCAGCACATGCCTTGTCGGCACTGGGAGGAAGATAGTGAAGGTCAGCTGGAAGTAGCAGGATTAAAGATGCACAGGGAGGTGCTCACAACTAGAGTTTTGCGCTGCAGCACTTAGCCACTGTATTGTGGTACTTGAGGCATCACTTCTTGGCTGAGATTGTCTTGTGGCTGAAGTAAAGGATAGCCCAAATGCTGCCAACTTAGTGACGAAGCACATAGGTGACGAAACGGAAAGATGGGAAGGGGAGAGATATGTGGACCAGAGGAACTGATTTGCTCCATGGTCATACTGGTAAATGCAGACAGGTTGCTAAACAACTCAATTTTTATCACATGGGAACTGTAATAGTCATGATTTTAGGGATCAACCATTTGTTGAGGGCTACCGTAATTGTGAACTATTGTTGAACATATGTGACCTAAGGACTACATGTAAATTGAATATATGTGAAACCAATTTGAACAAGAAAGAGTTTTATTTACTTCTGCTGAAAAAAAAATTATTATCAAATCACAAGCTTAGTCCAACACACCCAAAGAAGCTATTAATCTCTTATGAAATAAACCTAATCCAATTTAGAATTTTGTCTAAGTAAAAAATAAATTAATTTAGTAATCTTCTAGATCACACAACAACAAAAAAGGTATCCAAACTCAAGCTTTCTATCGATCCCATCCTTGCAAAAATACTATTTTCTACCCAATCCTCTATGTTACCTGCCTTGTCCAATCTAAAATTCAACTTTAATATTGCAATGTCTTATTTTACTGGGAGAAAAATAAACTCAGGTGAGATTTGAGGCAAAAACATTACTATTCAGATAAATAACCAGCTTCATTCGGAGTGCCTTATAAAGTTCACATGCAAGAAAACATGCAGTTTAAAATAGCAATAACATTTTTAAAAATTCCAATTTTGGGAAAAATAAGATACAGTAATGAAATCAGTCTACATATCTCAATATATTTTTTCATAAAAATTATATTAAGCGTGAACTGAATCCTATAAAGATCCCACTATAATCTTAGTACATTCCTGTCTCATAATCTTTTTAGAATTAAGCTTTGATTAGCATAATTGAATATAATGTTCAATATGTTACAATATAACCAATACGTACAGTGACAGCTGTGATCAATAATCTCTACATACCAGAGCTATGTGGCTGTTATTCCAAGTGTTATTATCAACTAGAGTAGTTCGATTTGCCATTCCAGCTATCTGATAGCCATAATCCCACCAAGACATTACTCTGGCATGTTCATCTGTATTTTGTCTTAGCCAATAATATGCTTCCCTAAAGTCATCCAAAATGTTCCTTGTGCTATTTAGAAAAATAAAAGTTAAGATTATGACAAAATAATTACCACTACATATTAGCAATGCTTTGTGTAATTACAATGTACCATAAATAATGGATACATAAAAATAGCAAATCTTACCCATCGTGATTGTAAGAGGCTAAGACAACACTTGGACTGGAATAGGCATTGCTGGTTACCCATGTACAGTGAACAGCGAACATCATCAATAACATTAGCATTAACATTGTGACAATACTCTTTATATTGGGACCAAGACCTTCTTCAGTTTTTTCCTGCTCAGAAATATGTTTCCTCACTTTACCTGCCTGAATAAAGAAAACAAATTAACCCTTTCCATTTAATCTATCAGATTTCAGAGTAAATATCCTGTTTTCAGATAAGAAAGTCTCCCCATTTCTGATTTTAAAAAGCACTTTAAAAATTGAAGTATTTCAGGTGAAAAGAGTTTTTCAAAATGGAATGTATGAAGGGATACTAACAGATTAAATCTGCGTTCATTTAATATATTCAACCATGTTTTGGACATTAAAATGGTATAATCATAAGAAAAAAATGAATAGTTTAATGAAGAGATCATAAACAATAGGGAGTTCCCCAACCTACTGGGTTGCGGCCTGTTTAAAATGGTGGAGCTTCATGTGTGAGCGCAAAGGCCCTCCACTCACGTGTGAGCACAAGGGCCTGCTGCTCATGTGTGAACCTGCCTCTGCACGAGAGGAAGGCATGTGTGCCCACTGCTCACATCAATAGAGCTGTGCATGTGTGCCTGCCACTCACAGCCCCGCCCCCCCCGCAGCAGGCTACCAAGGTGGAAAAGTTGGGGACCACTGACAAACATTATTTCTACATATGATTTTCACCTACATTAAACATTTCTGTTTAAATTAATTTAGATAGATATCAAACTTTTCAAGGCTCACCTTATCATAAAGGTTTCCTGGATTTCTTTTATCATCTTCATCACTACTATCTTCTACTGGAGGATTTTCTCTTTTCATATCATCACCCAAATAATGTTCAAAAACATTTGAGAAAGCAATGGCTGACAACATACAAACCACTGGAGTCAAAGTTAGCATCAGGCGAACCATCACTCCAGCAAAATAAACAGCACTGATTGCATACAAAGCCACTGCAAAGACACACAGACATTCAGTTTTAATATTAGGTTCCTCACAGATGCAATGTTTCAAGTGCACTGTAAGCTTGGAATTAAAGCTTCAATGTTTATTTCCTGGAAGTTCATATGAATAAAACTTTATTATCATTTGAATTATATCATCTTTAAAAAGAAGGACTATTTAATGATTGCTAATTTCTTGCCACAACTCATGCCCACCTCGAAAGTATGAAAATGCAACTGAATTAATAGGTACTACTTCAGTGAGAAAGTAATAGCGTTCTGTGTGCCTTTGCCATATAGCCATGCTAGCCACATGACTACAGAAATTGTCTTTGGACAATGCTGGCTCCCTCAGCCAAGAAATAGAAGAGCACTGTGCCCTAGAATCGGACACAACTGACAGGGAAACCTTTACCTTTTTAGTAAGTAGCTATTGTTCTAGTGGTCTTTTATCATCATATCAGCTTCAACATTTTCAGTCTGTTCTTATGTTTTCACGAGAGTATTTTTTGCTGAATCCAGCATTACATACAGTGAATTCAGAAAGAATTCAGACCCTCTTCACTTTGTCAATTTTGAAGAGTGAGCCTCCTTCCTCCCTAGAGGAAGGCTAGGGAGATGAGCATGATTTTTTTCTCATGGTCCATAACTTTTTTCCCTCCTAACAAAGTGGCAGGCAGTTCTGTGGGTCAGCCAAGAAGAAGGAGATGAAATGGTAAGGAGGCAGCTTTATAGGGGCTTTACTGAAGAAAGTGAGGGAAGGATAAACAGCACATGCCTATATGACTCAGCAGGCCATGGGTTGCCTATTATAAAAATAAATGTCTAAAATGACTTTGATTGTAAAGAAAGTTAATGAACCTAAATAAAAAATGCATTAAGTATAATTTTTAATTCCTGAGAAATATGTTCTAATAAATACAAGAATGCTAGCAATTCAGTTTAGCTTCATTTTGAAAAGTTATTTCTTCTTACCAAAAACTCTTTCATCATTGATATTTTTGATGCAGAACCACAGGCCTGCTGGAAAAGTACAGACGAGAATATGTAGATCAAAAAAGAAGGAAACCCAAGTTGTAGGCTGATGCTCCGACACTGAGGCAATGATTGGGATGTGAATTTTTGCATACCTTTTTTAAAAGAATCAAATTCAAATTATTTTAGTGATGAAACTCTATAAATGTTAATAAAAAATACAGCAGATCACTGAAAAATTTTAAATTAAACACATTATGTCTTTAAATATTAGTCATATTCCTATCTTTTAAAGGTTTGTAATATAAAGCTTTTTTTTGGAATGGGTATATGTCCTATATATTATTTCAATTAAATTTCAGAAATTGAGAAAAAGTGGTTCTTAAACTATCTTTGGATCCTTGCTAAAAACTGAATGGTATGATCAAATGTAGCCATTTATTCAAAGAATGAAAAAAATGGCATGTCATAAATATCAAAGTATTCTTTTGCATCTTATAAATCACACTATCTATTGTTATATACCAAGGTAAGGCATAATTATATTCTATTCAATGAAGTAACGTTACCTTTTCCTTTAAAGTGTGTATATTAATACAAAGAATTATAAAAAGCAGACAACATAAAATATTAAGTATAAATTCAATATTAATCATGAATACATTATAGAAGATGAATCCAGGGATGAAATATAAAAAACTAAAATAAAAATCATTTTTTAAAAAGTAAATGTTCTTGCACTATAAATAAAGAAAATTCTATTGACACAAATGGAAATTTTAAAGTATTTTAATATAGACAGCAAAAGCTGTTATTTATGTTTGACTTCTTTTTCCTTGCTAGGATAGAGATGGCGTGGTGGTTGGTGGCTAACTGTTTTCCTTTAACAGGTCAAAGATTATGTCGTTTTACCTTATATTTATACCTACCCAGTATCCCACAATGAGTAGAATCTGCCACTCCATGGAGCAATGTAACCTGAAAATACATATTACAGTAACTGAGCAGCTACTGTGCATATATACATTCACTTTCAAACCTTCAAAAGAAATTGTTCTATCAATCCATATCAAAAAATATTTGTCTCCAACTTCACTTTTAAACTAATTCCCTTAGTCCCAGCTCTAAAGTAAATTGTTCCTTCTTTGTGTATTGATACTTATTTTTACTGACTGCCTGAACCATCTTAATTGCACAACAAACCACAGACATCTCTAACAATGAAAGATAGAATTTCCCTTTAGTTGCACATTCTTTAATAATCTCAGAGATTTAAAAAAAACCCAGATCAGAATGGAAAAGGACATTATAGGCTCTGCAGCAGGAATTAGTGGCAGGAAATAAGAACAAAATTTAAAAGATAGCAAAAATGGAGGCAGAAAGGACTCTAGCTTTATATGCAGGGTTTTGATGGGGCAAAGTTATCATATTAAAACGCACACTTTAAAATGTGCATTTCTGTTCTACTTGAACCTTTGTTTCCAGTTTTTAGAAACATTTTAACAATCAATTTCTATACAATAAAATGTATGTTTCTTATGGAACATCCACTCATAATTCCAAAGATTATCTGAAATGATTATTTTATGAACAGAGGCAGACCTAAAATACAGTTTTGATTCCAGAAGCATATTCCATCATATTCCTGATATTTTGCTTGTTTCAGGCTAGACACAGTTTGGCAGAAATGAAACATTTAACATTTATAATTGTTCTGGACAGAACAAAGTTTAGGCTCATTCACAGCATTCCTATCTCTCCCCACATTAAATTCCCTGTATAGCATATCCACTGGCCCAACTGCTCCCCACATTCTCAGCATCTTTTTTTTCACCCTTCACCAACATCTCAGCATAACATATATCATAGGCCTGACTGCTCCCCCTCCCACTTTCCCAGCACCTTCGTTTCCTCCCCATGGCTGAAGCATGGCATAGACTAGTGGCCTGCCCAAGGAGCCATTCCCTCAAGCTGTTGATGTCCTTGCCTGCTCCTCATAAAAAAGCTCCATGTTATTCCATGCATAGAAACAAAAAATATCTGAAACGAGCATATTGTGTCTGCAACAGACACACAAACTAGCTGTTCTAGGCATGGAAATTTCATATAAGGAACATTTTGCACCTCTCTACCCAATAATTTTGAGCTGTAAGAAAGCTTTATCTGATAACAGGAAATATTTATTGGATACTACTTACCTGTATATGTTAAATAGATAACGCTCAGGAATACAATTCCAGCAGCCAAAGATATACCTAAGAAGAATAATGTCTGAAATTCTTGCTTTGTTAGTCTGTCTCTCATATACTGCAGGAAAGCATAGGCTTGCAGAAGAGCAAATACACCTATTAAAATGCAAAGAAACAGTTTAACAAACATTCCTTATTCTAAACAAAGACTAATTTTAAGTAATTTTGTTCACATTATGCATGTTTCTTTTATTTCTTTTATGCATTTACATGGATTTCTATATATGCTGCCATATATGACCGTGTATTTTAAGATGTTCTTATTTTCCTAATGTACATATATTCATGATCTGTAATATCCTTTTTTTCCTGCAGCTATCTTATCCCCCCCACATTGGATGTTCATTTTTCTTTTTTATTACTCAATGAAATGAAATATTTAACATTTTAATTCATTTTAATTTTTATTCTTATTTTTATTTTTTCCCCAATTACTTATTTCTATGAAACAAGTTGAACTGAATCTGAAAAAAAATTAATTAAAATGCTCTGGGACAAAATACAGTCCTGATTTACAACAATGATAAAACATCAAATTCTGACATATTTCTACCATATTAGAACACAGATGTCAACTTTGTGGTTGCTGTCATGTGACTTTTTTTCCCCCATTCGTGGAGCTGGGATAGTTGTGGCCTGCTCCTGATGTATCCGGCCTGTTAGCTGCCAGTTTGATACCCCTGTATTAGAACCTGTAATCTTTCCTCGTAAAAACCAGATCTAATATGATTGGTTTTGATATTACCTGATTTTTTTATCTTTTCCTATTTGTTCAATATCTTATATGATTATCAGAGCAGTACAGAATATTTCAAAGAAAGCCGCATCACAGCTTTAAATAAAACCACTGTACATTGGCAAAGTTATTTTCAAGGTATGCTTATTAATAGTCCTCACATAAGAGTTTACATTTTCATTCAGTTAAAATGTGTCAACATTCTTTCCTGATCAATTTTGTCAGCTCAGAACCCATTAATATAAATGTGAAGGTTGGGTTTGTTTGTTTTTGCACTATTGCACATCATTTTATACTTCTGCTGAAGTGCATTTTGCCATTCTAACAGCCATTCACCAATTTGTAGATATTCTTGTAATATTCTCCTTTATAGTTCCTTTCTGATCAGGAAATGTAATAGCTACTTGGAACATCTCTCCAAACAAAAAATTACTAATTTATTACTACTGCTTTTTATCCATTACTAAATAGTAGAATATCTGCCTGGTGCCATAGCAGTTAGAATGCAGAATTGCAGACTATCTCTGCCCACTCCTAGGAGTTCATTTCCTTCTATCCTGACCAGTTCAAGGTTAACTCAGTCTTCCATCCTTCCAAGGTCAATAAAATGAGGGTCCAGATTGTTGGGAGCAATATGCTGATTCTGTAAACTGCTTAGAGAGTGCTATAAAGCACTATGGGATGGTGCATAAGTCTAAGTGCTGCTAAGTTTGTTAGCAATCTTTAGGCAGTGCCTTTGCATATTTTGCCTTTCAAAATAACTACTGATAATCTTATTTATAATTTTGCCATCAACAAGTTAGTGAATGATGGCACACAATCAGCATAGGATTATTACTGGGAAAATTTCTGCAACATTTAAGCTCAAAGTCTTTATTGTCATTGTATGTACACTATGTATACAACCAAATTGGTTTACTGGTGCAGTCACGCAAGAATTTAAGACAACATGAATAATATAAAGAATAATCTTTATACAAGTAATTAGAGAAAAAAACTAGTCATATGTTTCCATATGTACATCATATTCTGGGCAACATGATCTTATATCATGGTAGATACATGGCACCAGTGAAATGGGCGTTGGTCCTTACCTGATACGCCCCTTCTCGGCGAGCCGCGAGGAGCATCCAGAGAGTGGGAGGTGCTTCAGAGTCCTCTCTCACAGGCTGAGCTTCAATTGAAGAACGTTCCGCCCCCTCACGTGGCTCCATGCTGCGTTCCCCAGTTTTTGCGAGGACGAAAAGGAAAGGCTATGTACTCGTCCTACTAAACTAGTGGATCCTTGGCTGAAACAAGTTCCCCCACCAGACGGAGAAAAAGGGTGGGGCTGGATGCTCCTCGCGGCTCGCCGAGAAGGGGCGTATCAGGTAAGGACCAACGCCCATTCTCCCTCAAGCCGCTCGGAGCATCCAGAGAGTGGGACATACCAAAGCTTGGCAGTCCTACGGGAGGGACTCCGTCTGGGCCGGAAGCCCCTCTGGGTCACTGATGACCCTCTGTAGGACTCGACGGCCAAATGAGGCATCCGCTGAGGCATACACGTCTATCTTGTAATGCCTGATGAAAGGAGACGGGGAAGCCCAGGTGGCTGCCCGGTACATATCAGCAATTGGGGCTTGTGTGGCCCAGGCCGCCGAAGTAGCCGCACTCCTGGTGGAATGAGTGGTGATTCCACTGGGTGCGGGGAGAGATTGAGATTGGTAGCATTTGGAGATAGTGGCCCTAATCCAGCGGCTGATGGTTGAGGGGGAAACCTTGAGCCCCAAGGACCTGGGCTGAAAAGAGAGGAAAAGAAATTCCGACTTCCTCAGGGGCTGGGTGCGCTTGATGTAGATGCGCAAGGCCCGCCTAACATCTAGAGTGTGCCAGAGGATCTCCCTATCCCTCGAGGGTCTAGGACAAAAGTTTGGTAAGACCAGCTCCTGCGACCTGTGGAAGGCAGAGTTGACCTTAGGCAGGAAGGTGGGTTTGGGATGAAGAACCACCTGGTCGGAGTGGAACACACAAAGGTCCTTCCTAATTGATAAGGCCACGATTTCTGAAACTCGCCGAGCCGACGTGATGGCCACCAGAAACACTACCTTAAACGTTAAGAATTGAAGGGAGGACTCCCTAAGAGGCTCAAACGGGTGTCTTGTGAGCGAGACCAGGACCTTATTGAGGTCCCAGGTAGGGTATCTGTGAACAGTTGGGGGGCACAGGTTAGTGGCACCTCTGAGAAAGGCCCTGACCCTAGGGTGATGGAAAAGGGAGCCGAAACTATCGCAGGAGACGACGGTTGCCAGGGCTGCGACCTGCCGCCTCAGGGTGTTAGGGGAAAGCCCCTTGAGCAGGCCCTCCTGGAGGAATTCCAGAACCTGGGCAACAGAGGGAGAGAGCGGGTTGATTTGGGACTTATGACACCACCTGCAGAAGCCATTCCAGGTGGCATCATAAATCCGTGTGGTTGAGGGGCGCCTGGCGGCCAGGATGGTGTCGATTACCTGACTGGAGAGTTTCTCTTTTCTTAAACGGCTCCGTTCAACCTCCAGACAGCTAACTGGAGCCATTGAGGGTCCGGGTGCACCAGGGGCCCCTGGGAGAGGGAAATCCTGTCCGGGGGAATTCTCCAGGGGGGCGCTACTGACAGGTTGCGGAGGTCCGCAAACCAGGGGGGCCTGGGCCAATAGGGGGCCACCAGCAGCAGATCTGCCTTCTCTAGGATGAGCTTCCGGATCACCCGGGGCACTAAGGCTAGGGGGGGAAAGGCGTAGATGAGCCCTGGGGGCCAGGGGCAGAGAAGTGCATTGTGGTTCTACGACCCGTGGGACAGGTATCTCGAGAAAAACCTGGGAAGTGGAGTGTTGGCCGGGGAAGCGAAGAGGTCCACCACTGGTGGGCCGAAGATCCTGGACGCCTCTCTGAACAGGGATGGGTGGAGGCGCCATTCTGCCTGGTCCACCGTGGCCCTGCTCAGCCAGTCCGCCTGGATGTTGGAAACTCCAGAAATATGATCTGCCCTCAGTGAGAGGAGGTTGGACTCCACCCAACGGCAGAGGTGCTCGGCCTCCCTCATCAGTTGGATGGACTGGGTACCCCCTTGCCTGTTGATGTGCACTTTGGCCGTGACGTTGTCCGTGAGGATGAGGACATGACGTCCGCGCACCTGAGGGAGGAAGTTTCGGAGGGCCAGATGGACACCGTGAAGTTCCAGCCAGTTGATATTGCGACCTTGTTCCGCCCTTGACCATCTGCCTTGAGCTGTGAGCGATTTGGTGTGGGCGCCCCATCCGGATAAGCTGATGTCTGTGGTAAGGGTAAGCCTCTGGGGTTCCTTGAAGAGCTGGCCCTTGTTGATGGCGGGGTTGGTCCACCAGAGGAGGGAGGAGAGGACCCTTGGAGGTACCTTGACGCTGGATCTCGAGTTGCTTCTTCCGGATCTTTGGAATGGGAGCAGGAACCACTGCAGGGATCTGCTATGTAAACAGGCCCAGGGAATAATGGATATGCATGAGACCATCTTACCTAAGAGTTTGGAGAGGTCCAGCAAGGAGACCTTCTTTGACTGTCTAATCTGTTTAACCAAGGTTTGGATACTGAGGAACCTCTCTGGAGAGAGGAAGACCCTTTCTGATACTGAATCAATTATGGCCCCCAGGTGAATAATTCGGGTGGAGGGAGCCAATTGGCTCTTTTTCCAGTTAATGAGGAATCTGTGGGCCTGGAGCACGGAGAGAGTAACTCTGGTGTCCCTTTCTGCCTGGTGTTTGGATGGGGAGAGGATGAGAATGTCATCTAAATAGCAATGAAGGCGTACGGGAAAGCTTCTAAGGTGGGCTGCTAGGGCCGCAAGGAATTTGGTGAACGTCCTAGGGGCCGATGCCAGACCAAACGGGAGGGCCACATACTGAAAGTGGCGGTTGTCATAACAAAATCTGAGGAATTTGTGGTGGGAAGGCCGAATTGGAATATGTAGATATGCTTCGGAGAGGTCTATAGAGGATAGCCAGTTCCCTTCGGCTGGTACCCAAGAGGACAGATTGCAGGGTGTGCATCTTGAATTTGCGCTGAATTAAATGACGGTTAAGACGTTTTAGATCTAAAATGGCTCTCCATCCCCCAGAATGCTTGGGGACCACGAAAAGGTGGGAATAGAATCCCTGCCCTCGCTGGGCTGGGGGAACGGGTTGGATGGCCTGAATGTCACAGAGATGCTGGATGGCGGCATCCATCAATTGACGCTTGGAAGGGTCCCTTGAGGGGAGGGATGCCATGAAGAAGTCAGAGGGGGCGGACCGAAACTCAAGGGCGAGACCAAACCTGATGGTGTCTCGAACCCAGGCATCGGTGGTGGATGCATCCCATTGGGCGGCGAAGTGTCTGAGGTGGCCGCCAGTGGGGAGGGAACGAGCTCTATCTGGGCCGACGGAAGGGTCTTCCCCCCGATCCCCTATAGGGCTTCCTATAGCTGCCACCCCTTCTGCTTCTGTCACCTGGGTCGTTCCGATCTTGTGGGAGTCGGAACGAAGGGGGTCTCGGGTATCTGGGTGGGAAGGAAGGCTGATAGAAGGGACGGGGGGAGCCTCTCCGAAAGGGCTGAGGGCCTCTAGGTTCCAACCTCCGGAAGAGGGAGGGCAGAAACTTCTTCTTACTGCGGCCCTCGACCAGCAGGGGATCTTAAGGCTGGGCCGAACAGCTTGTCCCCTTTAATGGGAGCGGAAGCAAGTTTAACTTTATTTTTGACGTCCGCCTGCCAGTGCTTGAGCCAGAGCAGGCGGTGGGCCGTAACATGGGAGATTATCGCCCTAGAGGCGAATTTTACCGATTGATAAGTGGCGTCAGCTGAGAATTCCGCTGCTGCCACGAGCTTTGCTATGTCCTGATGGGAACGTGTGTTGGTGGAAGGGACGTGCTGCTTCAGTTGACGAAGCCACCAGATTGAGGACCTGGTGAAAAAGGAGGCGGCCGTGGCCGATCTAATGGCCCAAGCATCTGCTTGGTGGGCCCGGCGTAAAGCCAGTTCCGCCCGTTTGTCCTCCGGCTTTAGAGCCTCCAAGGCCTCGCTGGGGGTGGAGGAGGACGCTAGGTCCACGATGGGCTGGTCAACTTCGGGGGTATCTAACAGACTTGAAAAGTCCCAAGCGAGATTAAAGAATCTCTTGTCTTGGTTCGAAGGCGCAGGGGGGACCCCTGTGGAAGAGAGTTGCTTCGTGACCAAATCTGAAAAAATGGGTGGGGCCGGGATGACCTCGGCCTCCATCAGGGGCTGTCTAAATATGGAGTCCTCTAGGCCCTCTGGAGTGGAGGGGGGGGGCAGAGGGAGACTGAGGAAGTAGACCGGAGATGTTTTTGGCCTTAAACAGGAGGGACTTGAACATGTGGGGCTTGAACAACCCCACAAATGTAGGCTGGTCGGGGGTCAGCCCCTCATCCTCCGACATTCCCTCTTCGCTCAACTCAGCCTCTAAAATAGGCTCACTGAAACGGGAAGATCCCATATGGGATTCCTCCTCCTCTTCCCTGAAATAATCGAAGGCCCCTTCCTCCTCCTCTAGAACCCTTTCTGGAGGAGGGCTACCCTTCTGTGAAGGTACCTGACCGGTAAGAGGATCCGATCCTGGAGGGGATCTGATGGACAGAGACTCGGGTTCGGGAGCCCTTGGAAAAAAACCGGGTCTGGACATGTGTTGCAGCCCTTCTGCAATGCCCTGGCAGATGGCCAGTTCCATCCAAGCCTTGATATGAGCCGGGACCTCCATGGAAGAGGGATCCTCTTGGTGCAGGCCAGCGGCTGTAGGTGTAAAGGTGGCTTCGGGAGTTCGCCTGGTCGATGGTCCCGCCTGAGGACCCTGAGGTGAGCTGTGCCTGGACCTGGAAGAGAGGTCTGGAGGGGGGGTTGAGTAGAGGGGGAGGGAGTGGGAGGAGGAATGGCTGGAGGCCTCAAAAGTGACTCCCTGGATCGCCTGTCAAACTCCTTCTCCAGCGCCCTGTGGCGCCTTAAGGTGTCCTGCTGGGAGGCCTTGGAAGATTCCTGAGCCTGCCTTCGCAAGTGGTAAGACTTGGACTTAGCCTTCAAAGAAGGGCGTTTGGAGGAATTGTCATCTGCCATATTATTGTGAAAATGGAAAGTGTCACTAGAGGCGGTTGGCTCGCCTAGAGTTCGGCCTATGAGAAGGCCGGGTGATCTCAGAGCTGGCCCGCACCACCTTTTGGAATTTAGAGTCAACTAGTGCTAGCAAAAGGTAAAAATATATACAAGAATAGTATTTTATTTTTTTTTGATGTGAAGACCTTATCTGATATGCTTTATGCTATGAATAAAAAAGGAAATGATTGTTTTTATTATATATATATATATATATACATACATACATACATACATACATACATACACATACACACACACACACACACACACACACACACACACACACACACACACA